TCTCATTGAGCTCCCACTCTGCTGTTGCTGCTGGTGATGCCACTCATGCTCAGGTGATCAAAAATGCCTGTTACATTTCTCAGTATCTCAATATCTTAATAAAAATAAAGGATTTTTCCACCCAGGTGAATAAACTGACTTGGTAGGAGGGCCAGAGCTCTGTAAATGGGTGCTGCCACTAAATGCGAGTTCATCAAGGCTACCCAAAGATCTGTGTGCCCTGAGGAGACCCATGAGCACATGTCAGAAAGGATCAGTGAAAGATGGAGTTCTCATGAACAAGACAAGGAGCAACAGAAGAACATACTTAATTTAATATACTGGCAACTCCTGGTGGTGTAGGCCTTCTGTCTGCTGACTGTAACCTCTCATAGAGTCATAGAATCACAGAATGGCCTGGGTTGAAAAGGACCACAGTGATCATCTAGTTTCAACCCCCCTGCTATGTGCAGGGTCGCCAACCAGCAGACCAGGCTGCCCAGAGCCACATCCAGCCTGGCCTTGAATGCCTCCAGGAATGGGGCATCCATCCTCCTTGGGCAGCCTGTTCCAGTGTGTCACCACCCTCTGTGTGAAAAACTTCCTCCTCTCCCACAGCCCTGATGCAGCTGAGCCTTGCCTTGTTTGAATGGGAGCATGTCCAAGAGGCCATAGCAAAATTCAGTCCCCATGGTCCCAACCATTTATGGTTTCTCCAGGGACCATCACACAAAGCTGAGCATTAAGTGGTCCAAGAGATTTGTTTGTGAAGGGGAGAGGTTCTCCTTGAGTATCAGCTCACTCACGGCCTAAAGAGCACCCTCAGGATCCCATGTTCTCTCCATCCTGTCCCTGCTGCTTCTCTCCCAGGCAGACCTTGTATTTGAGGTTCTACATGTTTTGTTACCCCTGTGCTGCTCAGGAAACTGCATTTGATGCATTTCTGTTGGCTGGGAAACATGTTAGACAGAAGAAAAGCTATAAAGATTTGACAGTGCTGCTGCTCATTAGACCACAGGTGGAAAGTTTAGTTCGCAGATGGAAAATAAGCCAAGTTAGCATCTTGGAAGGATTGGTAGGAAGAATGCCATGAGCAGTTTGAGCACATGAATTCTTGGGACTGCTCAATTGAACAATTGAGCAACTGGGCAATGAACAACCAGGGAAAGAGGGATGATGGTGAGATCAGCTCCCCTGACCCCTGACCTGCCGAAGAGCAGTTTTGGAAATGACTCGTGCTAAAAGATGGAGTGGAGAGGGAAGGGCTCCAGAGGGATGCAGCACTGTGAAATGTTGCATCACACCACTGCCATTGGAAATCCCCCACAGTCACGATGAGTGGGATGGAGGAAGGCAGTTGGCCTAGTCCAGATGAGAAGAGACTTAGAGGGTGGTTTCATCTACATGGTGATGTGGGTGGCTTTGTGGAGCACCAGCTGCTGGCATCCCCAGCAGCACCCAGTGGTGGTGGCCCCAGCACACTAAACCCATGTGCTGGTTTGCCCACAAAGGGCAGGGAGAGATTTCCAGAGATAACTCTTCACAGTGACCTTCTCCTTTCATACAACACAAACTCAGCATCCTATTCCACCCAACCCATAACAGCACTGGGGAACAAAAGCAACAAAGGAGCTGACATAGGCAAGCATGATAAAAATCCTGGCTGTGCACTTGTGCCCAGTAGGACTTTCCCTTCATTTCCACAGATGACAAAAAGCCACCACAAAACTTCAAGGGCCCTTAAGCAGAAGCTGTCAGAGCCACACATGAATGCCCCAGTTCTTGGTAATACTTTGAGTGGGTGTCTGGGCTGTGTGAACACTCCTCACATTGCACAAATGGAGCAGAGGAAAATCCCTGCCTCTGTGGGCAAAGGCAGGTGTGAGGAAGGACTAACAGCCAGAACTCAGGTGCTGCTTACAGCTCAGGCGAGCAGAGTGTTTGGGATGAGGTTTAAGTCTACCAATTGTCATAGAATCTATCAATCACAGATCCATAGATCCATAGAATGGTTTGGGTTAGAACGGACCACAAAGCCCACCCAGCCCCAAATCCCTGCTATGGGCAAGGCTGCCACCCAGCAGCTCAGGCTGCCCAGGGCCCCATCCAACCTGGCCTTGAACCTCCAGGTATGGGGCACCCACCACTCTCTGGGCAGCTGTGCTAGGACCTCATCACCCTCAGAGTAAAGCCTGTCCAGGTCTTTTTGGATGGCAACCCTTCCTTCTGTCAAGTCCTCTGCCTGTTTCCCTATACTGGGGGACAGTGAGCTCTTGCCCTCTCAGAAAGTTGTCCTTAAAGAGGTGACAGCTCTGCTCCATTCCTTCTGCTTCCCAGCTTCCCAGGAGATCTCATTCAATAATTCTTTAAACAGATGGAGTTTTGCTCTTCTGAAGTTCAGGCTCCTGGCTGAAGGGAAGGCACAGGGGGATCTCATCCCTCAGGATAGATGCCTGAAGGAAGGCTGCAAAGAACACCGAGACAGCCTTTTTTTTTTAGTGGGGCCCTGAAATGGGACAAAAGGCAAGGGCACAGAGGAGATGCAGGAGGTTCCTGCTGAGCACCAGGAAACAGTTTGTCATTGTGTGGATGACAGAGCACTGCCAAAGGTTGACCCAAGGCTGTAGGGTGTCCTACTTGAAGATCTTCAAAATCCACCTGGACCCACCCTTCAAAAGCCATCCTGGGCACCCTGCTCTGGTGTCCCTGCTTGAGCAGGGATTGGACCAGATGGACCCTGAGGGCCGTGCCCACCTCAGTTCTCTGTGATGGTTATGTTTATACTCCGTGTTTCAGAACCCTTGGCTGAGAACACTTGGCACCGCAGGGGCATGTTGTGAAAAATGAGCCTGGAATTATTTCTGGGAAAGGTATAAAGGGAAAACTCAGAGGCAGAACTGTGAGCAGGAATGTCAGATATTTACACAAATTCCATCTGGGTATAAACTCTGGTCTAATGCTCTCTCCTAATCAGAAAAGTCACAGAATTAGCAAAGACCTTAGCGCTGTGATTTGAGTACTGTTGAAGCATGAGCCAGGTGGTCAGAAATGTGTGGTGGAGAAGTTCACACCGTGCTGCTCTTGAGCAGTTTTCCACCCAGAAAAAGGCAGTGCAATTGGTAACTGCAGACACACTGGTGCTGGTGAGATTCAAGGCCTGTGGAAGAGGACGTAACTTTCAGCAGAGCTGTACTTCAGTATTTGCCTGCAGTCTGTGCTGAGTGGCTGGAAGGCAGCTGTGCACGTGTTCTTGTCACAACTGATTTCCTAAGCAAATCCCTGGAACTCAGAGGTGGGCAAGAGTTTCCAGAACACCGGTTTAGCTTGGCCAATAACTCTTTGGTGGCTTTGAACGTGAGCAGTTGGCAGCTGTGTGCATCAGAACCTCTCAGAGGTTAGCGCTCTCCTTTGTTCACATTTCTGCACTCACTCGTTTGTCTCATGAGGGTGACAAGTCAGCTTCAGTTAAAAAAAAAACAAAAAAAACACCAATAAATCATCGGTTGTAATGGAACGACTGCAAAAGCAGGCATCCATCCTGTATTTCCTGTGAAGGAAACATCAGTGATTGTGGCACGAGGGGAGCAGTGCTTCCTCCAGAGACCCTGGCTGAGCAGTGCACAGACTGTAGTGGTTTTAAGGAAGTCTGGATTCACACAGGAAGAGCCTTAAACCAAACTAACCAACTAAAGGAAACCTAACAGAGTGATGTGAGGTCATAAGCACTTTATTGACCATAGCTTTATCCATCTTGTTTCATAGAACACTTTCCTGAGAATGCGTTCCTCCTCTGGATGTGCTCTGCAGAGGGAGTTTCTCCCTTTCTTTTCCAGCACAGAAGAACTGACCAAAGCAAATCTTGATGTAATTTTGAGGAATAATTGCATACACAGACAATGTTTAATTATGACTTTGGAAGCAGTCCCAATAATGTTTATCCCCAGCTATTCTTGAGAAAGAAGCACTCATAGAATCTAAGATGGAAAACCGAGTGTTTGCATCAAAAGAGTGGTTGAACACTGAGTTTACCAGCATTTCATCTTTGTCTCTCTTCTCATTTCCAGCACTTTTAAGACTGCCAGAATACCTTTATAACTAGAGCTGGTCACTGAGGAGTTTCCTTCTCCTAACATGATGCAATTTCTCTGCCTGGTGGCTTCAATGAAGGTGCACGTCTCTGTCCATTTTGGATGTATTACAGCAGAAGCTGGAGATGTGGGACAGTTGCTGGGGTGCTAGAGTCAACATCACAAAAACGAGGTAACAATAAAATGTTGAGGTAGGCACGCCAATTCAGCATTTAATCTGTGATCCATTTAGTTAGGTTTAAGCAGGCAGTGCCTTTTTCTCACTTACCTCACTGGTTTGCGCTACTCTGCCCACCCTCACCGCAGTCACATTCAGAGTTGTTATCCTTGGAGATGTAAGCATCTCTTTACCAGGTTGTTAACTTTTATATTGGACTGACAACTCAGATTCTCAGCAAGGATAAGAGTTAATCCTTAGTGTCTAAGTGTGCATGTTCCTGCAATGTGTCCCTGCTGCTAAGAAGAGTTAATGTTATCCCTGGCTGCATCAGGCAATGGCTTGTTAGCACTGAGAAAATGTAATTGCCTTTCTTCAGTGTTGGTGAACCATGACTGGAAGTGCTGGGCACAGTTCTGGACCCGCTGGTACAAGTTACATGGAGATAGCTGTGAGAGTCCAGGGGAGAATCAAGATGCTGATGAAGGGAGGAGAGCACCTCCCCTTTGAGGAGAGGCTGTGGGCTGAACTGTTTGGGGAGGAGAAGGAAAGGGGCCAGCACACAAGCAATTGCTGTTTTTTGTGATGCAGAAACGTTTGTAAGAGCTCATTTCTACATGGTTAGTTCATGGCTGAGCTGGGAAGAGCTGTACCAGGTGATTGCAGAAGTAATGTTACTTAATCCTCCTTGGTATTGCAAGGTGCAGTTCTAAACTACCACGCTGTTGCAACCTTACGCAGCTGTGTCTGTTTCTCCACCCCCATACTTATTTCTGCTTCTCAGCCTCCCTGCTGCTCTGTTGTGTTTGGCTTTGTGTGCAATCCCTTTTTACAGTGCCTTAAGAATCCTGTACTTTGCACACTCGAGTGTGCTTCACTTGTCCACAAGGATGAGTTCTCTTGTTGTCTTTCATTTGGCACTGTGGGGGCTCTGTGCTGGTAAGCAAGAGGGATGCCTTTGGGATTTTCTGGTTCACACTGATCTTCCTCGTCTTGTGTTTGCATTAGGTGTTGTGAATGTACTCCTGACCACTCCTCTCTGGGTAGTGAACACACGGCTGAAGCTGCAAGGAGCAAAATTTAGAAACGAAGACATTGTGCCGACCAATTATAAAGGCATCATAGGTGAGCATCTGTTGTCCTCAAACAAGGAGGAGCTCCTGCAGTGAAATCCCACAGCAAGGACTCTGAAGATGAAAGACTCCTATTTGTATAACAGATCTCCTGGTGGAATCTCTGTACTCCCTTATCACTTTGCAGTCATGCAGTTTGACGGCAACCTGGACTGTGCCACCTCTGATGGTAACTGAGAGTTTGGTCTGCGCACATGTAACCCCAAGGCTTTCTGCAAAAGCACACGACATCTTATCCAAATCCTGCAGGAGCCCAGTGAGCCCAGCAGTGTGCTAGCTGGGAGGTCTGCTGGACAGACCACTTGCCAATTTACTTTTTACTCACTGTCATCTCTAACCCACCCACGCCTTCAGGCTGCCTTGCTCTGTAAGGAAAGAAGAAGGTTGTTGGGAAGAGGGTTCAGAAACTTAACATTGATTCTGAGCTTGAAGTGGAAAGATGAAGGCACCTGCATGGCTGGCAAGCTTTACTCACGCTAAGAGCGGTGTGAGGAAGAACCTCCTCTGTCACTGTTTTGCCATTAACTTCCCGTTTAGAAGAAAGGACAAAAAATGACACAGAGATGGGTGTTGAGGACTGTAATAAAAGCGGAGCATCAGCCTTTAAATACAGCTTCACTCTTCTTCTCTAATCGGAATGTTGTGCTCATAACCATAACGGCTTTTTTCTACCTTATTTCTCAGATGCCTTCCATCAGATCATACGGGATGAAGGAGCCTTAGCTTTATGGAACGGTACTTTCCCTTCCTTGCTGCTGGTCTTCAATCCTGCCATACAGTTCATGTTTTATGAAGGCTTTAAAAGAAAGCTCTTAAAAAAGCAGACACAGGTAAGTATGTTTTGAGACAGGGTTTTTTTCCTGTTGTTGGGTTTTAGTATATTTTTTATGCAGGCATGTGATGCCAAGTGGGCTCTGGATCTAAGTTAGGCATTTACATTCTATAACATATCTGTTTGAGAAACAGACAGTTATACCTACCCTGTAATCCTTCCTCAAGTAAATTATAATTTGGAGAATGCGCTGATATGGACACCTACTAATTTTCAGTAGTGAAGTCACACAGATGTGAGCTTTCACACTTTCTTCCAATGAAATAGGCTGTAATCATGTTGTTTCAGTAAGCTAGCTGGAGGGTACAGGTGAGAAATTCAAAAGCTTGTGAGTAGGTAGAAATTACAAATGAACTCCCATTGTGGGGAAGCTGCTTGGTCGCACTGTGCTTTGACTCCTAAAAGTGAGATCAGCTCAGGCTTCATTATACTTCTTAGAGAACCAAGAAGCAGGTAATGATACTGAACTGTGAAAGACATGCAGGTAACTGGCTGACGGGGTGCTTTGTGTTCTTTCTGCATTGAACAGCTCACATCTTTGGATGCTTTTGTCATGGGTGCAGTAGCCAAAGCAGTTGCCACCACCCTCACTTATCCTTTGCAGACTGTACAGTCAATCCTGCGGGTGAGTACTCTTCTTGTTTCTGGGTAACTGATTCAGAGAAACGAAGGATAAATGATTGCAAAGGGAGGAAGAGCTTTATTTCATATGCAAGGGATGGCTCTGAGGCTTAGGGCTGCAGGGGCATGTGCACAGGGAAAGATGATGAGAAAAATCCATCAAATTAGTTTTCTGCCATCAGCATTCATGAAAGGCAGCACTTTGTAACAGCTTCACATCAGCAAGTCAGCACCGCTTCTCAAGGACTCTGAAAGAAGGACACACTCCACAAAACAAGGGCACAGACAAGATTTCTTGTACGAAAGGACAACTCCATGCCTCTCGATGTCCCACCATTGTGCTGAGACAAAGGAGCATGTAACATGCCCCACCACATGTGTAATCTACCTAGACAGGCTGAGATCACCTATCAATCCCAGATTAAGATCTGCCAAGGCCACACCAAGAATTTTAAAGCGACAATTCTCAGCAAGGAAGCCACAGGGAAGCCTGCCAAAGTGCTCAGCATTTGTCTAATTCCACATAAATCTTATCGGAAGGAAAACTAAAAAAAAAAATCAAATGTGCTCCATATCTGGATGTAAGGGCACAGATGAGATTAGCTCTGCTAAGAATAAAAGCAGCACCCACAATGAGGGCAGCTGGGTAAAGAGTGCTGACGACTGCAGCTCTCCTGGTATAAGCGGATCTCTGGGAGAGCTCAGACAAATGTGGTTCCCTCCTGCAAATCGGGATGCTTTTGTATTACTTCAGATGACCACCTGAATGTCATCATTTCTGGGAGATTTCCTAAAGACCTTAATGCTGTTTTTGCATCCAAGCCCCAAGGAAAAAGCTTGGGGACACACATTACATCCTGCAGGAGGTAAAAAAAAAAAAAAAAAGCAGCCAAATGTGACAAGCTATGCTGCAAATGAAAAGCACAAAATAACGCGGCATCCTGCAAGAAAGCATCCCTATCCAACCAATTCCAGAAAAATATGCATTGTATTTTTAGTGATTGTAAAAGTGAAGGCTCTCACTGCTCATAGGGCTCGAGATAACTGCTGTCCCCTCCTCCTGCTGCAATATCAGGGCCTACAGTTGGGGGGCTGAGCTGCTCTGTGCACGCAATATGGATGTGCACAGCTTTATTTGCTTAGCAGTGTGACCTGACACCCTCCATACCATGGAAGCTCACTTCGATTTTGTCTTTGCAGCTTGCCCTGTTGGAGCGTGCCCTAAAGGTGAGAGGCATCTGCTAGGAGGCACAGCAGCTGCAAGCAGCAGGGGGTTTGGTAGGCAAATCACTGCATTTTCCACCAAAGCCCTGTGGCAGGAATACCCATTATGACAGTTTGCTCCCACTTCTAGGAACTGACTGTGTTTGCCTGCCTTCACAACAGGTAGACGAGGAGCAGGGTAAGCACTCCCCTTTTCCTTCCTCAGCAGATGAGCAATAAGATGCGCAATGGAAAGATTAATCTGTACCAGGGGCTTTGCAGTCCAGCAGGCTCTTGGACAGATGGGAAGTAAATCTTGTTCTTACTTCTGCACAGGTTATATATCAGCTTTCTTTGGGTTAGTCAGCAAACCGTGCAAGGGAATGACTCTACTGCAGGAATGGGCATGGAGCAGTATTCAGCAATTTGATGACACTATTTAGGACAAAGAGTGTACATTATACCTCATCAGCTCTCAATCTGTACCCTCGGAATCAACATTCAGTACAAAAAACACTTGTAAGAACTAGCAGGTCACTGGTCCTTCTGGGATTGCAACCACCACATTAAATACAGTTCTGCTATTACTCATACAGGCAATCAATCAGTGCAGCAACGAGGCAGGTTCAAAGATGTAAACAGAAGCAGAAAGCACCTCTAACATCAAGGTGTCTGAATAGCTGCTCTCTTAGCAAACTAAGCTGCCACAGATGTCTCTTCACTTTGATCTAGGCTTGGGGTGAGGTACAGAAAAGATGGGACAGGGATTCAATTTAGATCCCCTACACCGAGCCAAAGAAGGAACGGTTACCCGTGAGGGAACTTGGCTCAGATTTTGCTGCTGTCCTTCATAACAATCCTTCCTTTCATAACAGTATTTTTATAAAGACTGATTTTCATTTTGAAATGAAAACACTTTGTGTTCTCTAGAAGTGAAAGGATGCAGTTTTTGGCTGGAACATGCAGCTAGCTCCTAGGCAAACAGGAGAAAAGCAGTGCAGTGGTAGCAGCAATCTCAGTCTTAAGGCTGTCAGCACAAACACCTGCAACGTCAACACAGACCAAAAAGTCTGCAAGACACTGAGTTAGAGCAGAGTTCCAGCAGCCACAGATTTCAGCTGAAGTGGTATCAGAAACATTTGGCATTTACGTAAAGCCAGCAGCCTTCCAGCTCACCTGCAATTATTCTGAGAGCAAGAATGTCACCGATCCTTCTATACCCAAAGTGGTTTACCAAGAGCCACTCCAACAACAGGGAATTTCTTATTAGAAATAGCAAGACACATCACATCGTCTTTCTAAATGATCCCTCATTTCAGTCAACAGAACATTTTCACTGCAATTCTCAGAAGTGTGATTGCTTCTTTACCACCAGTAAGGTCTACATCATCTCAGGAGATTTCCTGTCATTTAGCAAAGTATAACTGCAGCTCATTGTGCTTACTCATTCCTCTCGATGCCATATGCAAATGCCATTTGGGCTGAAAAGAACCAGAGCATGAAGTACAGCTTTATTGTACACTGATACTCTCAATACTTTCTGAACCTTAAGTCCAATTTATTCTTGCACAAAAGAAGGCAGAAAGACATTCTCATTTCATGTGCAGAATTGATCCAAACCGGGGGGGGAAGGGGAGGAAGACGCCATTTCACAGTTCAACAAACCTCCTGCAGCACTTCTCCCAGACTTCACTGGCGTTAAACTACTGTAGACATTCTCAATACTTCAACTATAAGACCGTACTTCAGAAGAATCCTGCTGCAGACTTCTTGACAGACAGCAGTATTTATGTGCATTTTATGGCCAAGGATGACTAAACAAAACTCTGCATAAAGAACATACACACTTGCATTAGCTGGGACAACAATTATGACCCTTTGGCCTTCTGGTCAAGAGAATGTCTGGGAAGATCCATGGAAAAACAACTAAAACCCATTTCTGGGAAGGCATGCCACTGACGAAGCACAGGCTATTGCTCCCTGTCTGCATGAGAACATGAATTCACATTCTCCTCAAGGAACCTGAAAATACAGAATTGTATCTGTTTCTGTGTAAAGAGTCACTTTCTTGAGGCACTCACCTCGTAAAAGCATGAGGATACTCTCCCCTTTTCTACCCAGTGTCTGCACTGAATATTTGCCTGTGGGCTCTGGAAAGCACTGTGCCTACTTGCTGCTAGCATTCACAGTAGCAGCTCAGAAACATCAGTGCCAGGTTTCTGGGAGAACGCCTAGTCATTCTGTGCTGCAAACATGCATGTGATGTTAAAAGAAAACTGTGTCAAAATCTTGATCTTTCTGAATTGTTTTAATGATCCACATTACTGAGTGACATAAACATAGTGTGAGGAGAATAACAAGAAACCGGCCCCACCGGCTGTTGACAGAAGGTAAAGACAGGGAGAGTAGTTGAAGGTAATTCAAAGGAAAACCAGAAAGTTCAGCACAGTGAGGGAATCATTCTCACCGTGACTGTCTGCCAATTCACAGAGCAGTAGGAATATCATTTCAAGTGTTTGAATAAGGTCTCTGTTTTGTTTCTTAACACAGTGAGTCCACAGAAGAGCAGGGAATGGGCTATTCCCAAAGTTGTGGCAACACTTCCTACAGACGGCATTCAGAACTTCTTCAAGGAATGGAGATGGCTAAAGAAGAGCAAGTGAGGACCCGTTACTACCCAAGTGCAGTGTCAAAAACAAATACATTTTTCTAGAGCCCATAACCTTTGGCAGAGGTTCCTTTCTCAATGTGTGTGTGAATGCTTTAATCCCATAACTCTGAAGGTTGCCGCAGTCAGTTTCTCATATACTAGAAACATAAGAGCAGCAGTAAGGACTGTCTGCAGGAGCTTTGCTTCAAGGCCTTTGTAGAGTCCCATTAATCCAAAACGTCTAGAAGAAGAAGAAGAAGAATTATTACAAGTCAATGACAACCTTAAGGATCTTCAATTCATTCTTGATCTCTTAACTGACTTTTGTGATTAAAAGCATTTCACAGGAGAGTCTACAAGTTAAGTATTTTGGGCAAGAAACTTTCTTCTTTTTAAAGCCAGAGCTGAATCAATAGGTTTCCCATATACCAGCTGCTGCAAAGACTTTAAGGAGAATTCAGTTTTGTGTATTTCTACAATATAGTATGATTAAAAAAAAATAAAAAACAAAAAGGCTGATTCAAATGACAAGTTCAGGCTGTGGTGGACAGGCAAAAGGAAACAAGAGGCACACCCAGCAATACTGTCGACATTAGTAATACTTAAACATTGTATACCATATTAAAAAAAGCAACAACATACAAAGAAGTCTCACCTCACTCTCTCTCGAAGAAGGTAGAGAACGTTTTTAAGACTGCCCAGTGTTCGGTTTTCTGGATTCAATCTGTGGCGTCCAAACTGAAAAAAATGAAAGGAAGCACCAGCATTTTAGTGCAGTAGTTCCCCACATTAATTGGCTGAGAACCCAATACATGGTAACAAAGCCTGAAGAGTCTATCCTACAGCTCTTTTAAAATGTAATTGGCTTTAATAGTAGTCAGCAAAGGTATGAAGCTAAAGCTCATTACTCAACTTCATGTACTCAGTGATACAATAAAATGCTTTGGTTTTAAGACAGATTCCAAGAAAGCATTACACATGGCCGTGCTTGCTGTCTTTCAGTTTTTCTACAGGAGAAAATTTTTTAGGATCTCAAAAACTCAGCTTGCAAGAACATGTGAGGGATTTACACAAGTCTCTTTGCTACGTGCCTTGAAAAATAGCAGCAACAAAAGAGTACTGGAAACTATTTAGGTGAAGAGGTTCTCACAAGCAGTGACTTGTCATCAGCAACTAACCCACTTGATCCTGAGAAACCAAGGTTAAGCATTACTGTCAAAGAGTCAGACACCTCTATCCATTTTCAGATGCTAACCAGGCTCAAGCTACAGTGCCAGTTACAGCACATGTTACTCAGAGGTTTCTGAACGCCACCAGGATTGGGAGTTTCCTTCTCGTCTCTTCTCTACCATCACACTGCTCTGATGTATTGCAAACAGCGCTTCACCAAGAAACAAAAAGTTAAAGATTTCCCAAAGGAAAGAGCGTTCTCTAACTCAGGAAATGAGGCGTGAGTTTTAAAGGGGACATCTGGACCCTGGAACGCTGTGCACACCAATATCACTGCTGTTTCTCCAGTGGGAACTTCATTTATCCACAAAGGTGCTGAAGAAGCAGCTTCCCCACATAATCACTAACAACAGTGCCACGTATTTTTAATGACTGAAAGGGAGATAGACGTACCAACAGGCAAAGCTGGAAGCTGCTCAGCACTATCAATGACACAGGTAACTGCTCATTTCATGAGAACAAGGAAGAGCACTGTGCCAGGAAGAGGAAAGCAAAGGTGTAGAGAGCTCATTACAAGGAGCCCTGATAACTATGAGAGAGCAGGAAGTTTCTGAAAGCAGAAGATTTTTAGAAGAAGCAGCCCCATAATTCAACTTTGAGGACAGAACTTAACTTTCATGCAGAAGCATTCCTTGCATCACAGGGAAAGAATGGGCTGCCATGAAGCAACAGCACATAAGACACCTTTTTCTACCACGGGTCCCTGTGAGAAGCACACATCAGCACTGGGACACCGGCGGCAAGGCTGTGCTTTACCATAAAGATGATTCCTCACCACACAGGCAAGCCAGCAAAAAACTGGCTGCCTTAGGCTAGAGCAAGCAGGAGGCAGCAGTTGGTTTGTCATCAAACCATCAGCACAACTTACCAGAGCAGCTCTCATTTTAAAGAAAGACAGTGCCACCAAGAGACAGAAGCACTTTGTTCAAGAAGCCAGGAGGAGATGAACAAAACATGGAACTGAGTCACAAAGCTGCAGCTATTTCTGCTGCAACCATGGAAAGGAATGAGGGCTAAGGCTGTTCTGTTGACACAGACCCAGGAAAACTGTAGCACCGTGCAATGCTAAAGCTGAAACAGAACACTCTGGCTTTCTGACAGTTCTCATTCATGCCAGGAGAAAAGACACTACAAATTAAAAACAGTCCATTCTGCAGTGAACACAAATAAAGGTACG